GCAGAGAGGATGAAGAAAGGGTGGGTAGGTCCCACCCCTCTATTTATTCAAATGATTTATTTTTTCATTTTATATGTCATACTATTGTATTTTACAGTATTTAATTATTTTTAACATATGAAATGACCAATTTGCCCTCATATTTAACGTCAAATTGGATGAAATGTTTGAATTTTGACGGTGGGGGAACATTGATAATAAAATTTAATTCAAGCCTGTAAAAAAATCAGGGGGTAAATTGAGAGTTATGTACAATTTCAGGGGGCAATTCGGCATTATACCCTTTATATAAATGATATGATTTAAAATAAAAGTACATATATATGACCTCTTGAAGTAAAATAAAGGTTGGGTAGCTGCTCATGATGATCATCATGTAGGATTTTTCTTCGGGCTCTTCCCCATGGATAAGTATTATCATTGGAGTCCCAATAATTGCAATTTTAGACGCAGTCTATGATATGTTTGTGATGTGTGATCCTGTCTTTTTCTTTGTTATTCTTCTTTCTAAATCAACATTATCACGTTTGTTTTCGTCCAAAAATAATAAAAAAAACATAATCACGTTTGACAATTTTAAGAACGAATCCAAGATAGTGAGACCATTAAGCTTGGATGGATATTGAACGAAAATTGGTAAAAGCTTAATTTCTGTTGTAATTAAAATTGGTAAGTGCGCAAACGTGAGTTAGGCTAGTTGGCTAGGGCAGTGAGTCTCTTACACTAAAGTTTGAATCTCTTCCCCGTAAATTGGATTAGTTAAAAGTAGTTTAGAGACTATCGCTTTGTGATGCTAATTAATGCTCTGTGATGGAAATCAACAGAGTGAGGGTTGCAAATGAGCTTGGAGCTGGGAATGGGAAGAGAGCCAAGTTTGCCACCAAAGTGGCAGTTGTTACATCAATTATAATTGGCCTCTTCTTCTGGCTCCTGATCATGATGTTCCACAAAGAGGTCGGCTATATATTTACAAATAGTGAAGCTGTACTTACTGAAGTCAGCAGCCTCTCCCTCTTATTAGCCTTCACAATTCTCCTCAACAGTGTTCAACCAGTTCTCTCTGGTAATGTCAATGTTCCCTTATCAAATTACCTTTCAACATCATTTTTTTTTTGCTTTCAATTTTTAAAATTGAATTAGTTATAAAATTGACATTTTCTGAAAGACTTATTTGGTTTTTTTTGTTAACAGGAGTAGCTGTGGGGTCCGGTTGGCAATCTTATGTGGCATACATAAACTTGGGTTGCTATTATCTCATTGGGGTTCCTCTTGGGTTTTTAATGGGATGGGTTTTCCACCAAGGAGTTATGGTACGTATTATATTGTCTCACTGGGGTTCTTCTTGGGTTTACATTTGTCAATTTCATTTAACTTTTTCTGTTCTTATTGCATGGCATTTGTTTTGGCATGCATAATTCTATTGTGGACTGACATTTGGTGATAAAATGAACACGATTAGGGAATTTGGGCTGGAATGATCTTTGGAGGGACAGCAGTCCAAACCTTGATATTGGCCATTATCACCATTCGATGCGACTGGGAAAAAGAGGTAGAGCCTATGGAATTCAAATCATTACTTACTTTTCGTTAATTGGGCTTTTATACTTGCGTATACAAAATTGATCATTATATTTCTGTGTTGGGCTGATTTTGCAGGCAGAGAAAGCAACCATGCACATGTTGAGGTGGGCAGACAAAAAATAGCAAAAACATTTATATTCATAAGAAAAATGCTTGGCCCACCTCTATTAAGGAGGTGATATACAATGCGGTATATAAATGTGGCATGCTTAGTATTTTCCTTTATGAATATGATGTAGGGATTTCAACTCATATTTTATAACTAAATTGTCTCAACAGAATGTTAACAAGACAAATATTAAGATTGTATGGAAAGCGAGCAGAGAAAGAGAAATTCTTTTCTGCTACAGCTATATTTGAAATACTATTTGTCATTCTTGTTGATGAATCCTCTTACATGTCTTCAAAGAAGCAAATGACCATTGTACTACGTTATGTGGATAAAGGTCATGTAATTGAACGCTTTGTAGGTATTGTGTATGTTACAAATATATTCTAAATCTTCCTCACTCAAGTTAGTCATGGATGATTTCTTTTTGAGACATGGATTAAGCATCTCTAGGTTGAGAGGTCATGGTTATGATGGGGCAAGTACTATGCAAAGTGAGTCTATTGGTCTTAAAACACTCATTCTAAATGAGAATGAATATGTTTTTTATATATATTTTATTTATGTTAATTGCTTTGCACATCAACTTCCGCTAGCTCTAGTAGCTGTTGCAAAGAAACATTAAAAAATTATTGATATATTTAGTATGGTTTCTAATGTGGTGAATGTTGTGGGTGCATCAGCTAAGCATCGTGATATTCTGAGAGAAAAAAAAAGATCACGTTCATCCTTTGGTATATTTGGTTGGTTCTCACACTAGCACTAGTCCTACCTATTGCAACCGCAAATGTAGAGCGAGTATTTTCTGCTATATATGTTGCATATATAGAGAAAGACATTTTTAATAGTATAGATGACGAGGCTGTTATGCAACAATTTCAAAATGTACAAACTCGTCGAGAGCAACTATATGATATCTCTACTCGCTGGAACTTCTATAAAAGGAAAATTCTTGGCTCTCCAATGTGCCCAATTGGTGGTTGGGAGGTGGAAACTGTCGAGCACCATTTGCTCTTATGCTCGTGGACTAATGTTGTGTGGTTTGGTGCTCCTTTGAGCTATGGAGTTGATATGTGGGGCTTCTGTAGACAGATTGGCTCATTAGCAAGAGAGACTCAACTTCTGCTTATAAGTATCAGCTTCATATGCTGGGAAATATGGAAGATTCGGTGCAATTTTATCTTCAAAGGCAGCCAAATTGATCCCCGTCTCACTATTAATCGAGCAATGCAGACCTGCATGGAATATTTAGCTGCTAAGGCTAGACCGCATGTGCCTTTTGGGGCAGCCCAGCCTCAGCTGATCAAATTAGTACTGCTCAAATTTGGAGACCTCCAATGCCAAATTTTGTGAAATTATGGCGCGTGGAAAAATGATTCTCATTTTGCAGGGCTGGGGGTGATTGCTAGAGATGAATTGGGATCCTTTTGTGGCGGATTAGCATCCCTTTACCAATTAGCATCCCTTTACCAATGCAACTCGGCTCTGGTGGCCGAGGCGGCTGATAGCCTCTGTGCAATCAAATTCGCTATAAACAGAACTTTCATTGATATTATTCTCGAGACGAATTCGAAGATCCTTGTGGATGGTATAAGTGGAGGAGTAACCAATGGGCTATGGACAATTCAACCTGTGCTGGATGAGTTCAAAAAGCTTTCTACTAACTTTAGATCGGGCCTTTGGAGCTGGGTGCCAAGGGAATTGAACCGCACAGCGCACAAGGCTGTAGCGATTGGTATCAGAGCAAAGCAACTGGAAAGTTGGGCTGTTAGGCCACCACCGTCTCTAGTGGGTGTTTTTGTAGAAGTAAGAGAAAAAGAAGAAAATAGAACAACACAAGTTTAACGAGGTTCGGCAATTTTGAGCCTACTTACCCGGTGGAGTATGAGATTATTCATCATATGGATATCAGTACAACAGGCTGCATATATAGGCAAGCCTTTTACAGTCTTTAGAAGCAATAAAGGCCTTTACAGAACCAAGACAATACATCTGTTGGAAGATAAAGGGTTTCCAGCAGTTGTAAGAAGACGACGAGTTTCCAGCAGTAGTTAATTATTTTACATATTCCAATACTCCCCCTCAAGCGAAGGCGAGAATATTGATTGAGCCAAGCTTGAACAAAAGGTTTTCAAATTGAGCTAAGGAAGCCCTTTGGTGAAGATATTTGTCAGTTGCTCATTATTGCGAATGTATGATGTGTGAATTATATTAGACTGAATCTTTTCTCGGACAAAATGGCAATCAACTTCAATATGCTTGGTTCGTTCATGAAACACTGGGTTGGAAGCGATGTGAATGGCAGCCTGAGTATCACAAAAGAGAGTCGTGGGATGCGGGTCTTTAAAGCCCAAATCATTGAGAAGTCCCTGGAGCCAAATTAATTCGCAAGAGACAGCAGCCATGGCTCTATATTCGGCTTCAGCACTTGAACGAGCAATGACACTTTGCTTCTTGCTCTTCCATGTGACCAAATTTCCTCCAACGAAGGTACAATATCTTGTGGTGGATTTCCAGTCAATTTGACACCCTACCCAATCAACATCTGAGTACCCTACAATTTGATTGTTTCCATTTTTCCTCATCAAAATACCACGACCAATGGAACCCTTTAAGTAACGAAGAATCCGTTTGACTGCTTGCTGCTTGCAGGTGAATTGATCGAGGAGAATGCATGAATTGGCTCACTAAGCTTACTGCATGAGAGATGTCGGGACGAGTAATAGTAAGATAAATAAGCCTCCCAACCAGCATTTGATAACAACTAGCATCTGCTAACAAATCTCCATCGAGACCAAGTTTGGTCTTGCAGTCAATTGGGGTAATGACTGATTTGGTTTCTAACATTCCAGTTTCTTGAAGATTTCCAATACATACTTGTGTTGATTAAGAAATAAACCTTTGCTTGAGGAGGCAATTTCGATACCCAAAAAATATTTTAAGGACCCTAAATCCTTAATAGCAAACTTCTTGTGAAGGAAAGACTTGAGTTTATGAATCTCTCTCATATTGCTGCCTGAAATAATGAGATCATCAACATATATAAGTACCACCAATCTTCCAGCAGACCCATCTTTAACAAACAAAGAGGAATCTGCATTACTTCTTTTGAAATTTATACTTTCAAGAACTGAACTTAATTTGGCATACCAAGCTCGTGGAGATTGCTTAAGTCCGTAGATAGCCTTGTGCAATTTATAGACCATTCCTACTTGTTTTTCTTGAGGATGACCAGGTGGCAAGCTCATGTAAACTTCCTATTCTAATTCTCCATGCAAAAAGGCATTCTTCACATCCATTTGAAATAAAGGCCAATAATTATTGACAGCAACAGATAAGAGAACTCTTACTGTGTTCATCTTTGCTACAGGAGCAAAAGTTTCCTTGTGGTCTACTCCAAAAGTTTGAGTAAATCCTTTAGCCACCAGCCTTACCTTGTGTCTCTCAATGGATCCATCGCTGTTAAACTTGGTCTTAAAAACCCATCT